GGAAAGAGTTGTGATCATTGGGGAAGCAAGGCTTTTTTTTCTTCTGGAATGCAGGATGTATAGCTATACATCTTACTGGGATGAGGCAGTCTGGCTTTTGCTGCCTATGCAGGGGTGGTCATTTTTTCTTAAAGATCTGAGAACAGGTGATAGCAGGGCTGTCCATCAATCCATCAGCATGGTTTCTTCTTATACTAAAACCCATGCTCACTTTCTCTCTTCTTGCAGGTAGCTGTATATACAGAGGCTGCTACACTCTTCACAGCCACTCCAGTCTCTGTGCCTGGGGTTTGTGCAGGTTGAATCCATTTACAGTAGTTAAGGTAAGTATAATTTCCACACATTTCTCTGAAAGTTTCTAGCTAAATATTGCAGTGGTTGAGCTGGTTTCTAGGAATTGCATCACTGCCCTTCGGTTTTCAAATATTTTGGGAATATTGGTCCAAGTTCATTTGGAATATAATTGTCCTGAGGTCCATAGCTATACCAGGGATGCGTTTAGCTCTCAGTGGGTCTTTGGTTGGCTCATGTTGAGGCCCATAGTGCCCACTTTAAACCTGGTAAAAGTAGGTGCAACTCTCATTGCCCTCTTGTTTATATCAAGCCTGACTTTGGTCCTGCAAATCAGTCAATTAATTCATTGTTCAGGTACAATGGATTGTATGTCTGAAGGATCTGTATAAACTAGGTCTGCTTATGATATTATGATGAAACTTGCATGATATTTTGCTGTGGAGAGAACCTAGTACCAGTCAGCAGAAACCTTTGAAAACAAAGTACTTTCTGTCTTTAGAGCCTAAAGTGAGTTGTAGGACTTCCTTTTCTAAAAACATTGAGATCTCAGAGGAGATGACTTAGCATAGTAAATGCCTGCCTTGCAATTTGTAGTCATAAATCTGGATCCTAGCAGGGCTGAATGAACTTTCTGTAAGGTCAGAAATGGCTAGAAGACTTTATTTTGGTTTCCCAGTGCAAGGTGCTCAGAGGCTAAGCACCCAAAATTCTAATTGGTGCTAATGGAAGTGACAGGTGTCAGCGTCTTTGAAAATGGGGTATCAGATTGGACATCCCAAAATATATGGATGCTTTAGAAAATAGTAGTCTCTTAGCCTAGTCCAAATTTCCCTGAAGATGAGTCTTCTGTGAATTAGGCCACAACCTTTTCAGACCATGGACTGGCAAACCACAGACCAGCAAATTGCGGACCAGCATACTGCAGGCCAGAAGTGACTGGCTGAGTATAAAAAAGGATTGGCTGCCGGTCCACAGTATGCCGATCACTTTCAGAGTTCTGGTCCGGCAACCAACCCTCCTGTGGCCTGGCAGCCAATTCTTCGTGGCCCGGTACTGGGCTGCGGCCTGGAGGTTGGGAACCTCTAGATTAGGCAACAGATGGACAGAGAAAAAACTTGAAAATGTCTTGATTAGTTTAAGGGCAGAAAATATGCTTTCTGCTCTACACGGAACTATGATCCCTATTCTGAAGGTATTGCAGTCCAATCTATGGACCCACAGAAAGTGAGACATAGTTGAAAATCAAGGAGAGGAAGTAATAAACCCAAGGGTCTCCTGTGGCATTTTTAGAAAATAAAATGTTTTATATTGTCAACTTGTAGCTTGGGCTTCTCTTAGCATTAATGCTGAACTGAAATGCAGAGGGGGTTTGTGGGGAAAGGGATGGGGACGGCATCATGTGTACAGGTAACTATGGACAAGGGAGCGTGAAGGGCTCCCTAGGGGCCGCGGTGGAGAACAGGACATGGATATTGGCATAAGTGGCAATAAAGAGGTGTCTTGGGGCACATGTGATTAAGCAAAATCAGATATGTAGACCAGGGCTGCATTGTTTAAGGGTTTGAAGCAGCACAGCAGAGTAGGATGGTTTGTATTTCTGAAGCTTTAATAAGCATATAACAGCATGTGGGGGTCAGACCTGATGATCTGTTTAGGTCCCTTCCGACCCTAAGCACTATGTTACTATGACCTGGTTAGCCTGACAGTTACAGGTTGTGTAGAAAAAGTATGCTCTAAAAGTAGGAGGGTGGTTATATTTTTATTAAATATTGTAGAAGGAGCTCAAAGCTGAGGATGAGGTGGTACTAAAGTCATAAAGAACTTATTTCAGAGGCCACAACACTCAAAGGGCCCAAAATAAATTGTAGCAGATGGTTACACCAGCAGATGTCTAATGCTAAGTTTCCCATTGTAACATTGCATAATGGACTGATTTGATGTGCTCATTGTATGTCTCATCTCTGTCTAGATGTGTCATCATTAAATGCCAGACCAGTCGCAAGCTGTGCAGTGGTCAAAATGACAAAGTACAAACTTGTGCTGTTAAGACATGGGGAGGGAGCCTGGAACAAGGAGAACCGCTTTTGCAGCTGGGTGGATCAGAAGCTGAGCAGTGATGGGATAAAGGAAGCTCAGAACTGTGGGAAACATCTCAAATCCCTGGGTTTTGAGTTTGACCTTGTGTTTACATCCATCCTAACTCGTTCTATTCAGACTGCTTGTCTGGTGCTAGAAGAAATGGGGCAGGAATGGGTCCCTGTTCAGAAATCATGGCGGCTGAATGAACGCCACTATGGTGCACTGATAGGTCTCAACAGAGCAGAGATGGCTTTGAACCATGGGGAAGAGCAAGTGAAGATCTGGAGAAGAAGCTATGATGTTGCTCCACCTCCCATAACGGAATCTCATCCTTACTACAATGAGATTTATAATGATCGCCGGTATAAGTCCTGTGATGTTCCAGAGGACCAGCTTCCAAGGGCTGAAAGCTTGAAAGAGGTGCTTCTTAGACTCCTTCCCTACTGGAATGAAAAGATAGTGCCGGAACTGAAAAGTGGCAAAACGATCCTCATATCTGCTCATGGGAACAGTGCTAGGGCCCTGCTCAAGCATTTGGAAGGTAAGGATCTTGTTGTCCCTCTCAAGTGTGCTTCAGTAAGTAAAAATAATTTGTTCTTGAGTTGTATCAGCCCATGAGCCCTGAGCCAACTTTGTTAACAATGTAACTTTTTTACTAGACGTCAACCTTATTTTTGCCCTATGCATCCTTCACTAACTATGAAAGTAGTAGCTTTTAATATTTGCATTATATAAGAGCAGTGTGTTTTTTAGCTTGATCTCCAGGAGCAAAAATAGGACATTAGGAAGAATGGTGGCATGGAAGTTGTCTCTTTAATCTCAGCTTTGGATCTCTTCTGTATTGGTATATATTTGGATGAATTGGGTTATTCTGGATAGATACCAATGTACTTGGGGTCAGAATTTAGCCATGTGGCTGTTGCCAACTATGGTGTGGTTGTTGAAATACCTAGATATTATACCTTGCTATTTTTATCCCAGTTTAAGTCAAATGCTTGGCTTTTGAAGTGTGTGGTAGGAATGCAAAGGAAGTTACACACCATGGCAACAAATAAGATTTGTCTCTTAATTAAGTCACGATTAAAAAGCCACTGCAGTGCTCACATGCTGTGTCAGACAGAAGTTTGTTAAGCCCAGCAAATCTACATAGGCACATTATCTCCTTTCCTGTCTAGAGAGTGCATGGCACTGAACAGATACATTCTGAATCCTGTATAGTTTTACTGATTCCTTCGGGGTCTGAAAAAGGGTGAGTTAATAATATTCCTTAGGCTGTTGCCAGTTTTGGGACAGATCTTATTTTTACAGCCTTGGCTCCAAGTTTGTCTTCCTCAATTTAATATAACATGTCTTCCAGTTTTTCAATTACTAATTTAGCTTTTGCCTATAGCACCATTTTTAACTGTGATGTTGTGTTCTGTTAGAGATGTGATCACCCTGGCTCATTCTATGAAGTGTTACAAAGTAGCTATCTTGAATCAAAGAACAAATGTGCATCTATTGAACACTACTCATACTGGGGCATTCTGGGACAATCTGGGCAGCTGTTGCTTCGGCAGGGATAAAGTTCATGGAGGAAATGCATGCCGAACACTTAGAGCAGCATCTTCGGGGATGACACACTACACTGAAGGGAAATCAGTTGCATTAATAAAGATAGTGTGCTTTGCCCATATGGCACAGCACCCTGTCTCCTTACAACTGGGTTGAACCTGTTCCAGGAAAACAGCCATATGCCAGACAAGCCTCTCTTTCAGGGGTGACGCATTGCAAGCCAACTACAATTCCTGCATTATTTTAACCACATTAAATACAGGTTTAACCACACTTGGAATAGGTAACATTTGTAATTGGTTTGACACCCATTTTAAAGCTTGTATGGTTTGGCTACCTCCAAGAATTACTTGCTGCAGCTCTCAGGGCTGTGACAGCTGTTTACAGCACCTTGATTTTTGAAGCTACAGATGCCCAATTCCCAACACAAGTTAGAGTACTTTAGGGACTGGTCTAAGTTTATAATAGCTGTACATAGTCCTTAAGGGGTGAAGTAACTGGATGAAATATAGGACACATCTACACGTGCAATTAGTGTGGTTGAATAAGCTCCGGTGCAATTTGAGCCAGAGTAAACTTTTTCCGATGTCACTATCTACATGTGTATTTAAGCACAGTAATTTACTCTGCTGTTGGATAGTCCCTGTATCTGATGGGACTATCTGACATTGCTGTAAATTAGTCTACATCAGTCCAGTTGCTGCGCACGTGTAGGCGGTGATGCTTTACTGTACAGTAAATTAGTCTACTGTGCAGTAAAGTGCATATGTAGATATGCCCATGGAGTTGCATCTCCTGTGTGTACCATGGTATATTGCCTCCCTTTAGTGGATTCCATACACTGAAATATTGGTACAGTGCCCAGTTCCATAGCTGTTATGCCAGCTGACAGCTTCTTTCCTGCCTTCTGTTGCCCTGAACATGTAATTCTCTGCTGTTCTGTTCAGGTATGTTCTGGCTTCTTTGTCACTGGAACCATGCAGATGAGGTTGATGATGTGAGGCTTCCAGATCTAAAACTGAAATGTGTTTTTAGGCAAACTGCAGTAAATCATAGGTCTGGTGGAGACCTTATCCTCCAAGGTGCTGATTTGCCTGAAAATTTTGGAGATTCTTCCTAGCTGGAGTTTTGCCTGATTTTAAAGTGATAGATCAGTGGTTATATAGGCAGATACTTTGGCCCCTGGCTTTTTGGGTGACCAGCTTGAGTATCTTGATATTTTTGTTTGTTTGTTTGTTTTCATGGTTGTTGTGAACCTTCAGTTCCAGTCAGCTTCGGCTAGAGTTGTGTCTTGGCACTTCTAAAAATCAGGCTCACAGTACCCAAGCAGGGCGTCAAAAATAAGTGCCCATTCCTGAGTGTCTTGCCATATTGATTAGCTGTAGCCTTAGTTGTTAAAAATCAGTCGTATGTATCTAGATTTAAACCAGAAGGCTTAGAATGCCAGTAAGACCTGACTAACATACTGTGATAAAATAACTACTTAGCTAGTTGGTTTGGAGAGAAACTTTAATTGACTCCTTTGGAAATCTCTTTGAAACACAGCTGTTTTTGAAACAAGGCCAGTAATTAATTTCATATAAATATTGCCCTTATTATAATTAATTTGAAGATAGCTTGCCAACCACACACACACGTTCACTGGAGCAGCAGATCATTCGGGCTAAGAAGACTTTGATTGTGTGTGGTATTGTCTTGTCTTGTCTTTTTTTTTTTTTCCCCAGCTCTATGAATAGGTATAATCAGGGTGTGTTAAAATGTCTGAAAGATCTGTCATGATTTCCATGCAAAATTATTATTTTACCCTCTGCCCCCTTCATTTGAATGTTACTTCTGCATGCATTTTAGGATGAAAGGAACTCCTGTACAGTGAGAACTCCTATGAGATCATTCGGGCTAAGAAGACTTTGATTGTGTGTGGTATTGTCTTGTCTTGTCTTTTTTTTTTTTTCCCCAGCTCTATGAATAGGTATAATCAGGGTGTGTTAAAATGTCTGAAAGATCTGTCATGATTTCCATGCAAAATTATTATTTTACCCTCTGCCCCCTTCATTTGAATGTTACTTCTGCATGCATTTTAGGATGAAAGGAACTCCTGTACAGTGAGAACTCCTATGGACAGGTATAATTTTTTTTTTTTCCCCAAAATATTCTGTCTTGTCCAGAACCTCTTATTTCTACAACCCTTCAATAAGGACGTGTGTATAATCCTGTATATAGTCAGCTTGAAGTGGGGCAAAGGTAAATGGGGCCCATTCTCGACCAGTAATGAAAAGTAGAGGGAGGGGATAGAAAATAGGAATAAAATTTGCCAGGCATGAATAGATGAGGTTTGCTAATCAGTCTGTGGAGTATATGCCCCTGGCAGCATGTTGAGGTGATTTGATATGTAGTAGTGGTGTTAGAGGACCTCAGAACTGCTAGTGGGACACCTTTCCCAGGCCCAACAGATGTGCACATCTTGCTGCCCTGGTTACATCAGGAGGGGTTGGCCCATTTGTGCCTTTTGAAAGCCCCCACCCCATGTAGTTGTTCTGTGCTTGCTTGTTGAAGTCTCCTGCTGTGACCTCACCTTGCAACTTCTGCCCCCACCGCCTGCTTCCTCCCCCCATCCATTCCACTCCTATCCCCAATCATTTTTACACTGTGTAGTGATAATTTGTGACTGGAGTCTGCTATGCACTACTGTGCTGCAAATAAAAACAATATCGGCAGCCACATATGTATGTCATCTGACTTTAGGGGTGGGGAGACGGACCTGAAAACATAGAAATTTAATGAGTGGCTAAGATGCAGTGGAGACATTGAGAACTGTTTAACTACTGTAGATGTCAACAAAGAATCTTTTGAATAAAGCTACAGTTTAATAGCTTAATGTGACAGTCTGAGATGCCAAACACTGAATTTTCTGAACTGCCCAACTGCAGGATTGGGATGCACAAAGAGATTGTCTGAAATCCTTCTGAAAGGGAACCAGCTGTAACTTTTTCCTGACGCTTGGCACTTTGAGACCCTTCTGTAAGCACCCTACTGCAAAATTGCCAGTTGGTCTAGCCCGTCTTCCTGGAGATAGTTCTGCTGTTGCAATGAAAATAGTCTCAGAAGTAGACTGCCACCCCAAGCTGTTATCTTGTTGAGGTCCTTTTTCAGGGGAATTATGCATCCCTTCCTTACACATCCTTTTTCTTCTTTCCCCCATGGAGAGTGGCACCTTTTTTACATTTGGATTTTTTGCTGTCATCTGGAGTTGAAGCTGCTATCTTAATGGTGCCAAAATGCTCCAGTGAGGGAAAGGAATATATATTCTGTGTGAACCATGGCTAAATGCATGAGATTCCTCCCTTAGTTTTGCTGGGCTTTCTCTTCTGTGTGGGCCAAGCAAATGGATATCCATACCCCTTGTCATGCCACAAATTCCCAAAATTTGTGGCTGTGACATAAGTGGTACCAATTTGTGCTGCTTTATTGCTGCAGATGTTTGTTAGGTTTATGGTGGGAGAGCACAGTCAGCCTGGAGCTGCCTGTGGTCTCCAGCTTCCCCACGCAGGCACTCCCAGGGCTTGAAGCGCCCGTGCCCAATCCTGCATGCCCCAGGAATTCCCACGCACAATCGGGCCCCTTAAGACCCAGGATCCACTGTTCGGATTTCCTCTCTCATAGATACATGGCTTGGGCAATCTTCAGGGCATCTCTAAGTGGGGAAACTCCAGCATTCCTCTCTTGCATAGGCCTCCCAAGGAGTCTGAGGCATGTCTCTGTAAGTGGGGAACATGTCATCTGTCATCATGCAGCATCAGGCCACGGCCCAATGCAGGACAAGGGGAGACGTGTTTTTCCCAATTAAGTGGATAGGCTGTTTGTCACACATTTGATGACATCTGTTTATATCCTAGTACAGTAGCCTCATGATTTTTTGGGCATTTTTTTGGTGTTGTTTTTTTTTTAAACATGCAAATTGCTTATTGGGAACAGATGAGAAAGGGGGAA